TAGAAATGTGTCATTCTTTTTAGGACTGACTAAAAAAGGAAAGTGAGTCATATAAATTGGGACAGAGGGAGTAATAACAATTCCAGAGATTCAGAAATATAATTCAAGGAACAATAATCATGTCTTCTGAAAGTCCTCCAAGTACTTTGTCAACGAAAATATTCCATCTTCTGTTTGTGCATTGCTCTGGATACCGCAACCTAATTCCTTTTGTATAGGCTTAACAATTCCTAGGATAACTTTAAAATATATAGGCAAACAAATAAACATGGCCTATAAAATACTAGAACCATTTCAATAGAGAAATTTGAGCTAAAATCTTGATCACAAAAATAAATTCAAACAAATCTCAACAAAAATCTAGTTCATGAATTACGTCAAACAAACCAGGTACTATAGCGAAATCAAACGATGCAAAAACACAAATAACACTAGTATTCATGAAAACATCACCTTTACGCCAAATTATGGAAAATCACAAACACAGTCACAAAGAAGAGGACAAATTTTCAAAAATACATCAAGTTTTAGCTGAATTATGGAAAATCACAGATCGGAACTTTAATTTTAGCCAATAATCAACGAGATGATACATTTACATAATAGATTTTCATAACACAAATCGAAAACCCTAGTTTTGTCAAATAAATTAAGAATTGTGAGGAGAAAATTACAATTCAATTAGAAAAACTGATCGAAAGAGAGGGAATGGGAGAAGAGAAGGAGATCGAGAATTACCAAATATGATCTGCAGAAAGAACGATCAAAGCCTAAGAATTTGAATATTCCATTTTATATATTTTCCGTCAGAATTTCTAGACAGAATGCCTTTTTTTTTTTTCTGTAAAATAAAAAAATAAAGGTAGTAACATTTTGATCCCTCAATTATTTATAAATTTTGATTTGATCCCTGTGATATTCAATGAAGCGCATTTGCCAATAAATTAATTAAAATATGTACTTTTAGTCCTTTTTATGTTGAAATCATATTATATTTAAACTATTTTGGAATTAGATCACCGTTATACATAAAGTAGTAGTACAAAACTTTACCTAATATATATAGGGGTAATTAAATAGTTGAACTCAATAACTAAAATAAGATATAGGTTCGATAGTAGTTACTCCTATTAAGTTCAAAATCCACAAACTTCAAATTTTGACCTTATCTCGTGCATAATCATAATCATTAATTATGTAGGAAGGTACCTTCTTCATACAACTTTAACCTCTGGAAAGGGTCTTAAATTAAACTTCCATTGCTTAGCTAAATACTAATTCTACTTTATTACTTTTCTTGTGTAAATGCTTCACTACCTACTTCCACAATCCATTCTTACTTTCTCTCTTTAGTTAAATGAGAATCATGAGTTTTAAAAATATTAGCTTCAAGGTAGTTTAGTTTGCAATTGATATTAAAGCTTTACTATTGAAGACATTATTTCACTATGAATAGAATGTTGGGAAACTAAGCAAATATATATCCTCATAAAAGCAAAATACTTACAAACATATATCCCTTTATATCTATATCCCACTAAATAATCTATATATATATATATATATATAAAGCTGGATCTTCAGCCCGCTAATGTGGCATGCCCCAATGATCAGGAAATCTATTTATCTATTTTCTCATATTTTTGGAGGATTTTTTTTCCTATTTTCAAACCTAAATTGATTCTAATTTGTTACCGTTTAATTTCCTCAATTTAAGGCTATATAATTAATGGGTTTAAATTTTAAGAAAGGGAAAAGATACCGTTTAAAATTCCAATTCTTAATTGTAATTAGTAGCCCTCATCCGTTTCCTCAAATTAAGGCTATAATAATAGAGAAATCATTTACAATTCTAAATTCAGAACTAATGCTTTTCAACCGCCAAAATATTAAGGTCCTATAAAATCATACTTTATTATTTAATTTTCATTAATCTTTTCTTTCTCTTTATAAATTTCTTTGGGTTTGTTGATTTGCTAATACTATTCTAATAGTTAATAGAAGAGATGTCTAACTTTATATTGTCTAATTTGGCAGGGAAAGTTTCAAAAATGATTTGAAAAGATCTTGCCATGGAAATTATATCAATTTTTATGGAATATTGTGAAGGTGAGAACAACGTTTGAACTTTGGTTATCATGCAAAGTTACATAATGTTCTTATAATTTATATATTTTTTGGTTTTTTATATTGTATTTGGTATCCACATTGTAGCTTGATTATATATGGATTCACAATGCGCAAGGCTCCATTTGGAGCGAGCACTTCCTACTAAAGAGTTTTCATACTCAAGATTCGACTAGACATCTGATTAAGAGAGTAACGGTCTCTTTCAATACACCTCATCTTTTCATGTTTGCTTATAAGTTTCTACCTCCGAATATATGTAATTTTTTTGTTTTATTATGAAACATATGTTAATTCATGCGTAGAGTAAATACATAATATTTTCGTATTGTGAAGGTAGTTGATTACTAAATTATTGATATTCTAATGTCAATCATTTTTAAAAATGGTATCTACACACCTCCATTACTTTTGCAGCCTTGAATAGTCTCATTAACAAAAAAATTAATATAATAGTGACCTCCTTAATGTGTTCTATCTCTTCCCTTTTTCTTCTGTATTTTTTTTCTATTTTTATTTATCTGTTAAATATGTTAACTATTGACCTTTCTTTTCTAAAAATTATTAACTAATTAACTAACGAGTAAATATGTTTAAATAGGATTCAGTTCCCCTCTCCATTATCTTTTCTCTCTATTTCATCAAGTATACATTTACGATAAGAGATATATGTCCTATTTAAATTTTAAAGGTAAAAATTATATTAAATAAATAAAATCGTAATCATAAATAATTAGTTAAAGATTATATTAAATAAATATTTCCTACAAATTTAGATACACATTAATATCATCTTATATTTTTATATTTTAAATATTTGAATATAGGAGGCTACTCTGTTTGGAGATAAAATAAATAAATCTTATATTATTGATATTTAAATATGTGGAGGCTGCTGTGTCAATGAAAAAATATCATTTTTTCTTTTAAAAAAATAGAAATTCTTTTACCTTTTCTTTTACGTATGTATGTGAATCATAAGACATATTTTTCAAAAGATTACTATTTATCAGGCTAATTAAACATATTAAATTCATGTTCAACAATTTTGATATTTTGAATAATATAAAATTAAGATTAAATCAATCGTATTAATGAATCTTCAAAATTTGTGGAATTTTACCAATTTTGAAGAGTATTTTTCTAATTTTATTTACTTAATTATGGTTAGGAATGTAATATAATCTTGACCTATAAATATTAAATAGAACATGTCTTTCATCTAAATGTATACTCTTGATGAAATGGAGAAAAAATATAATGAAGAGAAGCCGGATCGGGTTCAATATAATTCATGTATTCTCTCTCATCATGATATACCACAAATATATCTCTATTATTTATTTTATTATATAGTCATTTATACAAAAAGAAAATCATGTACTCCCTTCGTCACATATTAGTTGTTCACTTTTCTTTTTACGCGCATATATATATTAAGAAATCATAAACAAAAAATCATATATCTTTATTTATTTATTTTTATTATGTAGTCATTTATAAAAAAGAAAATCATGTACTCCGTCTGTCCCATATTAATTGATCACTTTTCTCTTTATGTGCAAATATTAAGAAATCATATATCTTTATTTATTTATTTTTATTATAAAGTCATTTATACAAATAGAAAATCATGTACTCCATCCGTCCCATATTAGTTGATGACTTTTCTTTTTTATGCGCATATATTTAGAAATCATAATTAAGTGGGTAGTTTTTACCAAATTCACCCCTTAAGAACTTTTTTGAAACTTTACAAAACACTTTATAAAGGAATTAATTGCAAGGTAATGAAAATAATAATCAATTAATGTTTTCTTGATTTATTAAGGTGATCAACTAATATGTGACAACTATTTTTAGTATAGTGATCAACTAATATGGGACATGAGGAGTAATTTATGATGGAGTAGATTGTGATTGAACTAATAATAAGATTCCTATAAATCATTTACTTTAATTAGTATGAAACTATGATGAATGAATTATCAATTAGCTCAAGTTTTTCATATCAACTTTTATGTTTCATCTTTTTTTTTTTATCAGCAATTTGTAGAATAATTTTTTAGCAATTTCTTTGAATAGGTCATATTAGAATCGTAACTTAATTCCTCTCTTTTATTGCATTATTTATTAATAAAATATTTGTCAAGTAATGACACTAATTATTTCAAAATATATTTAATCTTTTATTTTAACCGCGCGAAGCGCGGTCAAGTACACTAGTTACATTATATATTCCCAACTAATTTCGCTTAACTGATACTAAATCAGTATCATAATTGTATTGGTATCATTAAGACTGATAATTTTTGCTTAACTGATACTAAATCAGAGTTAAGCGAAATTATCAACCTTAATGATACCAATGTAGTATATGATACTGATTTAGTATCAGTTAAGCGAAATTATCAGCCTTAATGAATGGGGGTATGGGCTACAATTTTTTACGAGAGAATGAGTATTTCAGGAATTACTTTGAATTTGGATATAAACTTGTAATTATTTTGAATTTTATGACCCATTTATGTAGTTTTCCATAAAATGTTATCATCCGATTCCTTAGCTTCTTATAATGGTGATATGAATTTTAGAGAAGTTCTTTTTATCAACATGTTTTGATAGAAGGATGCTACTCAATTATCATGGTTAATTTCTACCATCAGTTTATAAAAGCAAACTCAAATACTAATAATTATACATATTATCCACAAAGATAATAGGATCTCTTAAAATGTACATAACCTTCGATATACTTTTCTGAATAGATACACTTGAACGTATTGAATTATATACTAAGCCAAATGAAAATCATGTTCTCAAATGGAGTTTCATAATAATATTTATAAAGGTCAAGAGTACATAACAAAAAGGAAAAAGGTAGATCATTACTGGATGTCATTTTCCTTCACAACAATCTTACTTTGTCATTAAAAGCATGCATCTAAAAGGCAGCAACAGCAAACCGCAGCCAAACTGCAAAAACATTAACAAAGCATAAGATTAATAATTAGTTTAATTTTCTCTATGAGAAAAAAGTGCTAGAGAATACTAATACGGTAAATGTTGATATTGATCAACAACTCAAATCATATCTAATTTTACATGATCGATGTCCAAGTACAAAAAAAAAAGCTCAAATCATACCAATCTTTGTCAGAAAATTATATTAGGTATATATATGTCCAAAAACTAGACTTGAATTTACAGATCTCACCCATGCATGCACATGTATAACGTAACATAAAAATTAATTTTCAGAGATGAGGTCATACCAGCCCGTCATGACACCGGTGGTGGCTGAATTTTTTTGAGGTGGTGGTGGAGCGGCGTATTGAGGGGCACCGTATGGAGGAGGAGGGTAGCCGTGTGGAGGGTAACCTTGCGGAGAAGGATAGCCTTGTGGAGGATAACCTTGCGGAGGATAACCTTGAGGAGGATACCCATATGCATCCTTTGGTGGATATCCTAATTAATTATTTCAACAATCGTCAAAATAAATCAAATTCATATCGCCTAAGATCTAATTTCCAAGATTAATATTATAATTAAATAACTCATAGAAAAACAAATGAAATATTTTGTTACCTTGAGGGGGAGGTACACCAACGGGAGGAGGTTGATTATAATAACTCATTATTAATTAATTATATATGTTCTTGGAATTATACGATAGATATGATTTCTTTCATTTGAGACTTGAGATAAATAGAATGCAGAACTATATATTGGCTTGATTTTACTCTGAAAAGTTGATCATCTTTTCATGTTTTTTCTCCATGGTTAATTTGTTGAATAGATGGAGAAAATTATCGATGCATTTTTTTTGTGTGTGAAAACAAATTACTCCTAGTAGTGGTTAGATTACTAAATTATCCTTTTTATTCTTTAGAAAATCATTTTAAAGATTTAAACACGTGTAATTTTTTTTAGCAACTATACATACAAAACTACAACATTTTGTATAAATAATTTTCTTACACACCATGATATCATCAAAAATGATATATTTATATTTTGAAATAAAACAAAAAAATTTACATGCTATACCATATCATATGGTAAAATTATATCTCAAGTAAAATCCATTTATGGAGGGTGGAGTGTTAGTTAGGCTTATCTTCTAACCCTTAACACAATTTCTTGGAGTAGCTAACTCACTTTTTCATATATAGAATAAACAGATAGAAGGTCTACATCAATTTCTAATTAAAACATAGTAGTTGGCTTTTAGTCTCAACGATCTCTAACTAACCATATCTATCTTTTTTCTACTTCCCATGCAAATTATATAAAAAAAACTCTTCTGTTCTTTTGCTTCAATTTCTACGATTTCTCCTAAAGTCAATAAATTTGTAGTTAGTATTAGTAAAATACATTTCTTTACTCTTTTGCATATTGAATGTATATATATATATGTGTGTGTGTGAAAAATAAATAATTAAGAGGTTAGTAAGAGACATATTAATTATAAGAGTGGTAGAGAGATGACAGTACAGGCGAAAGATGAATTTGTGCCTCATCCAGTGAAAGATCAACTTCCCGGAGTTGATATTTGTATTAACAGCAATCCTTCTTGGGGTACGTTTTCAAAACAAATTAAATTTATTTCTGAGTATAAATATACACATAAGTTGAGATTTTCAAGACTCAAAAGTTAGTTCAGGGTGTGTTCAGTACGAAGAAAAATGTTTTTCAGTATCTTTTTGGAAAATGCACGCTTTTTAAGAAAATGAGTAAGTTTTTTACTTATTATCTTGTGTTCAGTACGTGAGTAAAAAATATGATCCTACAAAAAATTTATATATAATCTAGACAAATTTTTACGGGAAGCAATGTGAAAGTAGTGTGGGGTGTGTTGGAGTCATGGAGGATACCATCAATGTATGGAATGTCGCTAGTAGAACTTGTTTACCTACAATTCTACTAGGGAAGTCAATTTCCTCATTTTTTAAAGAACGAGAAAATAGTTTTCAAATTTTTTGATCAAATCACTTTCTTTGTTGATGGGAATCAAGAAGAAAGATGATTTTCTCGACCAGGCATATGAGAAATCAACTCAATTCCGAGTTTATGACTGATAATTTTTAATTGATTCACTCATCACCAAGAGAAATGAGATTTTCAGTTGAGATCTTTGTTATTCTCAATGCTACTTCATCAAGCATATGTTTGATCCCAAAGTTTATAGGAGTACAAAATGCTCTTATATGCTTGGAGGGACCTGATATATAAATTCTTATTTTTCTACTTTGAATTATGCAGCTGAGGCCGTTATATTGGGTTTTCAACACTATTTAGTAATGCTTGGCACTTCTGTCATCATTCCTACCATCATTGTCCCACAAATGGGCGGTGGAAACGTAAGTACTTTTCTACTATTTTTTATGAAGTAGTAGTAGCAGTTGCTATCAAGTGTAGTACAGCCTATTCTATTTGACTCTCGTTTTTATCTTCCAGGTTGAGAAAGCTCAAGTGATACAAACTTTGCTCTTTGTTGCGGGAGTGAATACTCTATTGCAATCTTGGTTTGGAACTCGGCTTCCAGTGGTGATAGGTGGATCATTCAGATTCATAATTCCAGCCGTTTTTATTGCATTATCCAATAGATACAATGCATACCTTGATCCTCGTGAGGTTGGAGTAATCGAATTTCTTGCTTCATTTTTCTGCTTTTAGCCTCCAAAAATAAAATCTTTTCTGATTTTTTTTTATAATTTCCTTCAGAGGTTTGAGCAATCGATGAGAAGTATGCAGGGGGCTCTGATGATTGCATCAGTTATTCCAGTATTAGCTGGTTTTCTTGGAATTTGGAGAATTGTTACAAGGTCGTGGCCCATTTTGAAGGATTACATTATTTGGAGCATTATATTAGTAGTTATTGCATTCGCGTAGAAGAGAGTGTTTGATTCCAGTTGTTTAACAATGTAGGTTCTTGAGTCCGCTTTCTAAGGCTCCACTGCTGTTGCTTGTTGGCATTGGGCTATATGAGCAAGGTTTTCCACTTGTAAGAAGTTTGGCTGATGTTTACTACTTCCTTAGTTCCATGTTTCAGACGAAAAATGACACCTTTCTATACTTATAAAATTATTTATCTTTAAACTTCTCTTATAGACAGAGAAACGTCAAGACAAGTTTTAAGACCACAAGTCGTACTTTTGATATGTGCTCAATGTTCTTTTTTCTTGCTTGATGGCAGCTGGGAGAATGTGTTGAAATTGGACTTCCGGAGTTAGTTCTACTCATATTATTGTCACAAGTAAGGGTTATTCTTAATAGTTATCGCGTTCAGTACTGAGATGCATGTGTTAAAGATTAAGCAGTAGAGGAATGGATATGTAGATCATTTGTGGTGACGTTAGTTTTTTTGTTTTTGTTTTTGGTCTTCCGATAAGTGCTTAATGAATGTTTATGCAGTTCATTCCTCATGTGTGGAAATTAAAGCTACCCATATTTGAGCGATTCGCTGTCTTGTTATCAGTTGGAATAGTGTGGGCATTTGCAGCTCTTCTCACAGTAGCAGGTGCATACACGAACAGACCCCTACAGACTCAGTTCAGTTGCCGAGTTGATCGCTCTGGGCTTGTTAGTGGAGCTTCATGGTGTGTACACACTTAAATAAAGTGATAAATATCTGGAAGTTATAGAATAAGTGATTTTATAATTTTAATGTTAGATAGATTCTTTTTCTTTCTGCTTCAACTCTCAAGAATTCATTTATCGAAATGCAGGATAAGATTTCCTTACCCATTGCAATGGGGTATTCCCAATGTTGATGCTGGACATGTCTTTATGATGATGGCTGCAGTTTTCGTTTCTCTCGTTGAGGTTTATATCTTGTTGCCAATGTTCAATCTAATATTCTGGATTTATTCGCTGACATGATTCAAGTTCCTCTCTTGCTAGTAAAACTAATCGAAAATACATTGAGAATTTTTTAGCCTGGTGTTGATATTGTCCTTCTGAAGAACCTTTTTCCTACTCTTTTGTCAGTCTACCGGAGGATTTATTGCAGCTGCAAGATATGGAAGTGCAACATTTTGCCCAGCTTCCGTGCTGAGCCGTGGTGCTGGATGGCTGGTAAGTAAACTTACCATATTGACATCCTCTCTAACTACGTGTTCTTTCTTTGATCTATAATTCTCTGTGAAACGCGATTTTTCTTTTGTTGATGTCCAGGGATTAAGTACGTTGATCAATGGTTTATGGGGAACCCCCAGTGGATCAACTGTATCAGTGTAATACTTCTATCTACCTTAGGAAATGCTTAAAGTAGGATATTTTAGTTTGTTCTATGCCTCATACAAAATTCTAGGCTAAGTTGTTTTCTCTGGATACAACCATCTTTAAAGAAAGAGCATCTGCAGATACCTTCTTTTTACCTGACCATGTGTTGCTAATGCTTTTCTCTTACGAATTATGAAGTGAAAATGTAGGTCTTTTAGCATTGACACGAGTCGGAAGCAGAAGAGTAATTCAAATCTCTGCAGTATTTATGCTTTTCTTTTCTGTGATAGGTGAGACTCATAGTATTATATAGCTTATCTTGCTGATTTCTTGTGTGTTTATTTGTTTTGAAACGAATAATTCAGTTTCTTCTACCGAGTGATTGCTGTTCATGTTTATGAATGTTGGGAGTAATGGCTGCACCTCTCTTTGATCACAAACAGGAAAATTTGGAGCTATTCTTGCTTCAATACCTTTGCCGATCATTGGAGCTTTATATTGTGTCTTGTTTGCCCTCATGTGTAAGTGATGTCTCTAAACATGCAATTAATTTCTCATATTCCCTATATAAAGTCTTTGATATGTTGTGTTTATTGGATGAGGCAGCTGCTGCTGGTTTTGATTTACTACAATTCTGCAACCTCAACAGCTATAGGACTAAGTTTATATTAGGTTTCTCAATCTACATGGGCCTTTCTGTGCCACAATACTTCAACGGTTATGTTATAACCACTGGTCACGGTCCTGTTCTATCTGGCTCAGCTACGGTTAGTATATACATCAAAGTCACAATTTACCCACCTTTAAGTAGCATTTCTGGCATTTACCATTTATAGTATGTGCAGTTTGATCAGATTATGCAAGTGATCTTCACGTCCCCCGCCACAGTGGCTGGAGTTATAGCTTACTTCTTAGACCTCACTCTGGCGCGTAGGCATCCTTTAACCAGGAAAGACAGTGGAAGGCATTGGTGGGCTAAGTTCAAGTACTATGGGCGAGATCCTCGGAGTGAAGAGTTTTATTCTCTCCCTTATGGACTCTCCAAGTACTTTCCTTCAGTATGACACATTGATATTAATTAAGAATGAGAAGAAATCTGTCGAAATACTCAGAAGTAATGACATTTCATTTGTATAATCCCCTAATGTTATTGAGAACTATTCTAATTATATAGTTGATTAGCTTATGTACTGGTGCAAGCAGAATACATAGTTTTCAACAAGAGATTATTTCTGATATACGCTCGTCAAAATATAATCGTCCGTCCTCCTGAGCACTAATCTCTGCTCCTTTGACAATAGTGTAAAATGGGCTTGGTGGACTATTTGGAGTTGGAGCTGGGCCCATCTGAACGTGGGCTTCAAATCTCTTTTGTCTTTTTCAATTTGTTCATAACATGATTTAACCTCCGTTTCAACAGTCCACAACAAATAAATTAAAGAATATGAGAAATAGCACGTTTATTAGATGGCTGAGTTAATTTCCAATTTATAAAAGACTCATAATGATTTCCCAAATGTTAATGTTTAGGACTCAAAACATTTCTTTCTTTTCTTTGACTATAATATTTTCAATATTTAAT